CTTATATAGAACGCACTTGTGCGCCCATGTACCCATGTGCGATTACTGCCATGTAATGCCGTGTAAAACCGACCTTGCTCGCTGAATAAATGCATACGCCTCCCTGGAAAATTTCGCGGATTTATGGCACGGGATATGCACGTTTGATGTACATACGTTCTACGGTAACGACGCATTGCACATTGAATACGCGGCAATGCAACAGCTTTTCTCACATGTACACTTGCGAAAACGATTAGAAAACGATCTACGTATTACCTTATCGTGCACTCTAGTAATACTGGGGAGATCGAAGCGACGTTATCATAAAATCTCTCGACTCATTTGTTAAACTGGTGCTCGTGCATGGCGAAACAACAACAACGGTTTTATCTAACGATCTACGACTTAGCTTACACGTGTATAATAATCGCGATCGCCAACGCGTTTATAAAATTCTCTGAAAGCCCTTCGCGCGCGCGCAATAACATGTGTTTACGTATCTGTATGTGTGTGTGTATGTGTGTGTTCCGCAACGTGTGTACAACATGTACCGTTTTATCTCTTTTTATTTTGTTTTCGTCTCAACAACATGCGGTAAAACAGTGCGATCTCGCTAGAAAGCCAACAATCGTATGGACGGTTGTGAGCGAAATTAATGGAACAAGTTGGTGGAACGAAGATCCGTCATTCGTTCGCGCACGGGAGAAGAAAGGAAACTGTCCATTTTTGGCCCACAAACGGATTCTGATGAGATATATATCCTTTGAAGGGTATAAACCCCTAATTCCAAAAAGCCATTCTTTATTCAAATCTGGACAAAATGGCCGAAGTTAGAGGACGCCAAAACACTATATATTGAGTTGGCGAATTTGACGTTGCAAATGACAGAAATTTATTTAACTAATATAATTAAAATAGAATATAGACGAAAGAAAAAGATGCTTCGATCCGAAAAATAATGAAATAAGTACGTGAGAAACGAAATATATGAAATATATATGAAATATATTAAAAATATATCATATATGAAATATATGAAAAAATGTAGCCACAGTATGGCGAATTTTTTATACAACAGAGTTGAGTGAAATATTTTTAGACAAAGGCCTGAAGTCTAAAATTAAAAATATATGACCCTAATCTCAATGAGGGTCTCTCTTTGAGGGTCAATATATAGTATCCAAAAAGTACAAGGCCGAAAAATGCGTGTTTTCGAATAGTTTTTTTTTTTAAGTAGCCAAAATCAATTCTAAAATAATAAAACTAGATATATAAGGTCGATAGCGATGCGTTCCTCTCATTGACGACGATCACATTGATCCCGTTACTAAAATATTTAGTTAGCCAATGTTCAACTTTAAGTGTCGATATCTCAGGAGCTTCAAATCGCTAGAGAGTTTGATATTGGACTCCTCTCGGTATACGCTTTCATTTAATTCCGTTTGTGGGCCAAAACTCTCCTATTTTGGATAGTCTCCTTTGTTTGGATTAGCCAAAAGTCCGGGGTGAAATATGAACGAGCCAGAATTTTGGCTTGAGAAGAATTACCAGAATTCTGTCCAAGATAACTAGAAATCCTTCAGAAAACAAACAAGATCTCTGGTTAAACGGAACTTGTGACTGTTCAAGTTGAAGTTCCAGTGAACTTCAGAAATCTCGTTTGATTAACGTGAAATCTTATTACGTCAAACAGAATTCTAGTAACTGCAATCGGAATTCCGTACTTCGATTAGTCTTGCGAGTAATTAATTACTTTTTTAGTTAATCATCGTGTTTAATTGACAATTAATATGAGTTAATTCAATTTAAAACCGTTTAATTGCCAATTGATTTCAACAAATTTAATTGAAAACCGCTCGATTGACGATTGGTTTCAACGAATTCAATTAAAGCCGTTCAACTGACGATTGATATGAACGAAAGGAATCAAGGATTGTTCAATTAATAACTGAACTTGGCAAATTTAATTAAAGACTGCTTACTTGACGATTAAACTTAGCAAATTTAATTAAAAACGGTTTAACCCTTTAGAGTGGTTTTCTCACAGTGGTTTTACCGTAGTAAATTTAATTAAAAACAGTTTAACTCTTTAGAGTGGTTTTCTTACAGTGGTTTCACCATGAGGTCACCTATTAGAATCAAATCATAGCTTCAAGCATAATGATCTTGCAACGAAACCACTCAGCCTGTGCACAGTGGTGCACTCTACCGGTTTTTTTTTTACTCGTAGTATTCGTTCGGTTTACGCGCGGTTTTAGTGCTAGTTGTTATATGTATGTTTGTGTTTGACATCGTAAATTCTAAATTTCTAGCACGTATCCTAATCGTAGGTAAATTGTGTAACTTTTGCTGTTTTTTCCTGATGTGTAGGGAGAACTTACAAAGCTGTAATGTTGGCAAATTATAACTTGAAAAATTTGTTACTTTCTTTGATGATCTCATCATGAGTCCTAAAAACTTCAAAGGGTCGATTGACGATCGATATGAGCAAATTCAATCGATTCAATGGATTGATATGCTCAATGCTCCTTTCAAAGCAGATCCTAGTCAATCATCGGCATTTTCCACGATGCTACGATGTTCTGAGAATGAATATTATCTATAAGACCAAATAGAATGCTCTTGGATTAAATCGATTGAATTTGCTCATATCAAGCGTCAATTAAACAACCTTTAATTAAATTTGCTAATCTCAGTCGTCAGTTAAACGGCCTTTAATTAAATTTGCTGAGTTCGATTGTTAACTGAACGATTTTTAATTCCCTTCGCTCATATCAATCATCAATTAAACAGTCTTTAATTAAATCCGTTGGAATCAGTCATCAATTAAACATTCTTTAATTGATTTTACTTGAATCGATTGTTAATTGGTTGAATTGGAACATATTTGCTCGGATCAATTATTAAATTGAGATAATTTTAATTAATACTTCCACAACTTTGATCATATTTCGCCAGACATTTGGTTAATCCAGGCAGATGTTCTTTCTCTCGTGCGCAATTACCGAACTTCCGCTCGGCCCTTCGCAGAACGAATCGCTCCCGGATCGCTATCGTAGACCCAGGAGACCCGTGAGCTTATCTACGCCTTATATACTCTCACTCTGTCGTCTTAAATGCTATCGAAAAATATTCTCCGGTGACTCCTCGCTTCGCGTTAATCGCCTGTCCCCAAGTTAGCCGACAACATTCAAACGCTCACGCGTTCGCCTCTCTTCTCGATTGATCCTTCGGGACGGTATCGCGTAATCGCCACTCTTGGAACATTGTTTGTTCACGATAATTAGTCGATAATAATTCACGCGTTCTCTCTAGGGAAGAAAAATAGCGGAGGAAGATCGTTAATGGGCGTTAATGGGCGAGGCAACCCGCCGCACTCACACTGAGAAAGAGAAGTGGTCGAGACACACGCTTTGCCTGAACGAGCAAATTTCGTCCACGAGCAAGCGCTTAGTCGATCAAGCGGTTCATATGCCGTGATATGTTATGTGTTATCAGTTGATTCAATCGCGATTTGGTCAGTAACTATTGGCAAATTCGACTGGAAGCTCTGGCGCGCACCAGTGCACACTGTGGTCGATTCATAGTCCGTTCTTATATTTCAGCTGTATTCATAGAGCTTTATCTTATATTTGAAATCGTTTTGTATTCATCTTCAGACGCTATACAAATCGTTGCATTAGTTACAGAGCATTTGGAGGCGAATTTAAGGCGATCTTAAATATAAGAATGGACTATGGAACGGCCTTATTGTGCACCGGTGCGCACTAGCGATTCCAATCGAATTCACCACGTATCAATGCAATTTGCTCTTGCACCAACGCATGATTTGTTCAATAGATGTAATATATTCCTCTGAATGCGGGTGACCGCCGATTTTGTCACCGCTTTTTTTCTCAATGTACAATTACGTGCGTACTTGTCGTCGTCATTGTCGTAGCCGATAAAGTCCCAAAGGATTAATCCCAATATATGTATATGTATCTTCCGAATGCATCAATCTTCCTTATTCACTAATATGTCTCGCGGATCGATCGGTACGCATCAAACGGACTTGGAGCCTCTCGTGACATATTTAAATGAAAGATTGTCAATGATGGTGTTCACCGACGTGTCGTTTTTCGCGTTTCGTCGAAACCTAAGAGTGAAGTCATATGGAGTGTGAAATTACAGTTCATTTACGTGACTCTCTCTCTCTCTCTCTCTCTCTCTCTTTCTCTCATCAAGTGTTCCCGATGCGTACGAAAACTACAACACCATTCTCGTCCCCTGTATCCGCGATAAAAACACTTTCTCGCCGTGTATAAGCAACAACTGGTAACAACTTATATACGTCAACATCACCAACAATCCCCAACAACGCGGTACGCACTTGTCCCCGATGTATCGACACTTATCTCGTCGGCCCGACGAGTTTGATCATCGAATCGACTTGTTGTCACGTGTCGCTATGTAGATCACGTAGTGGATCGTGCTGTTTAGCCGATTCGATCATCCGTACCGGCGTCCCGTGAAATATCTCAAACATCCCGAATGCAAGGCATCAGCAGGCACATCTTCTTAATCAGCGATATAATTCATACTGATATCATCGAAACATTCTCTTCCTCCCTCCTTCCCTCTCTCTCTCTCTCTCTCTCTCTCTCTCTCTCTCTCTCTCT